ATCCCTAGATTTTGTGTGGTTGTGTTTTCATTGATGTTTGTCTCAAAGTATTTTTTAATTTCCTCTTTGATTTCATCATCGACCCATTGGTTTTTTAGTAGCGTGTTGTTTAATTTCTATCCTCTTAAATTTGTTGAGGCTTCTTTTGTGCCCAGGCTTGTGATCTTCCCTAGAGAATTTTCCATGCACACTTGGTAAGAATGTACATTCTGTATTTTGGGGATGTAGTGTCCTAAAAGTATCAACCAAGGCCAACGGTTCTATTGTCATTTAGTATCTCTGCTGCCTTATTGATTTCGTGTCTGGAAGACCTGTCCAGTGATATTAGTGGGGTGTTAAAGTCTCCTACTACCATTGTATTCCCATCAGTTTCTCCCTTTATGTCTGTTAGTATTTTATATATTTAGGTGCTCCTATATTGGGTGCATATATGTTAACAAGTGCAATATCCTCATCTTGTATTGCTCCTTTAATCATTATATAGTATCTTTCTTTATGGTCTATATTCTAAAGTCTATTCTGTCTGATATGAGTATTGCTACTCCTGCTTTCTTGCCATTTCCATTTGCATGGAACATCTTTTTCCACCCTCTCACTTTCAATCTATGTGTCCTTCACTCTAAAGTGGGTCTCTGGTAGGCAGCACATTGTAGGCTTTTATTTTATTATCCCATCTGCCACTCTGTGTGTTTTGACTGGAGCATTTAGTCCATTGACATTTGCAGTAATTATTGATAGATGTGTGCTTATGGCCATTTCAAACTTTTGTTTTCCAGTTGATTTGGTATTTCTTCTCTGTTCCTTTCTTTCCCCTTTTTTTGTGGTTTGATACATTTTTTTGTATTAGCTTGGTTTCTTTTTGGGTTGTGTGACTGCAGTGTATGCTTTTGACTTGTGGTTACCCTGTTTTTCAAGTATATTAACCCATTAATGCATCTGTTTGCTTTAAACTGATAGTCTTGTAGGCTCAAATACATACTAAAAAGAAAGAAAAAAAAAGAAGAGAGAAAATAAATCTATATTTTCTTGCTCCCCTCTCCCACCTTTGATGATTTTGATGTCCTCTTATACATCTTCATGTTTATTCTCTTGCAACTCATTGTAGTTATTGCATTTCCAGTTATGATTTTCTCATTTCTATAGCTTCCTACTTCTTTTCTATTTAGAGTAGACCTTTCAACATTTCTTTTAGAGTAGGGTTAGTATTGCTGAATTCTTTTAGTTTTTCCTTGTCTGTGAAATTCTCTCTCCTTCTATTCTAAAGGACAGTCTTGCCAGATAAAGTATCCTAGGTTGCAGATTTTTTTCAATCAGGACTTTGAGTATATCTTGCCCCTCCCTTCTGACCAGCAGTGTCTGTGTAAAGAAATCAGCTGAAAGCCTCATGGGGGCTCCCTTATAACTCACCCTTTTTCTCTTGCTGCCTTTAGAATCATTTCTTTAACTTTGGCATCTTAATTATAATATGTCTTGGTATAGGTCTGTCTGGGTTCTTCTTGTTGGAGACCCTCTGTGCTTCCTGTACTTGGATATCTGATTCCTTCTTTAGGTTTGGAAAGGTTTCAGTCATGATTTCTTCAAATACCTTTTCTGACCCCTTTTCTCTGTCTTCTCCTCCTGGGACCCATATTATGCACAGATTGGCACGTTTTATGTTATCCCATAGGTCCCTTAGATTGTTACCATTGGTTTTTATTTGCTTTTCTGTCTGCTCTTCTGATTGGGTGACTTCTGTTACCCCGTCTTCTAAGTCACTGACTCGTTCCTCTGCATTGTGTAGTCTGCTTTTGACTGCCTTTAGGTTGGCTCTTATCTCAGCCATTGAGTTTTCTGTTTTTAATTGGCTCCTCTTTATAATTTCTATTTCCTTTTTACAGTATTCTGCATCTCTATTCATAGTCTCTCTCATTTCCATCAGTGCTTTTATCACCCCCTTTTGAAGTTATGATCTAGTAGACTGCCAATGTCTATTTTATTGATCGTTCTTTCAGGGAACTTCTCTTGCTCTTCTAATTGGGAGTGGTTCCTCTGCTTCTTCATTTTACTTACGTTTCTCTGGCTCTGTGGATTCAGGAGTATCAGTCATCCACTGTGGTCTTAAAGGGCTGGGGGTTTTTTTGTTGTTGTTATAATTTAAAGTGGGAGCGTGCAGTGTAGACTATGTACATCTGATAGCTTTCTCACGAGGTCTGCTCTCACTGTGGATGGTTGCGACGTCTTCTTTCCATGTGTGTTGGCTGCTGTCCCTTTGACTGGGGGTGTGGTTGGTGCTGTGGTGATCAGAGCCTGCCCGGATTGCTGTTGTTGAGTGGTTCTCCTTGTTTGTTCTGTGGTTGTCACAGCCTTGACAGGAGCGGGTCTGCTCCACTGTTGCTGGAATAGAGGCTTCCAAGCCCCAGTGTGTACAGGTGAAGCTGAAGCTGGAAAGAAGAGTCG